CCCTTCCGGTGGTCCCGGTACAATACTGATTACCCCTGAAACTTTCCCGATGGCCGAAACTTGACTTCCTATATATAAATCTTCACCTTCGGACCATTCCGGAACTCCTCATGACATCCGGGATCTCATCCGGGACTCTGAACAACTTTCGGGTAACCATATACTAATATCTCAACAACCCTAGCGTCACCAAACCTTAAGTGTGTAGACCCTACGGGTTCTGGAGACACGCAAACATGACCGAGACGACTCTCCGGTCAATAACCAACAGCGGGATCTGGATACCCATGTTGGCTCCCACATGCTCCTCGATGATCTCATCGGATGAACCACGATGTCGAGGATTCAATCAATCTGTATACAATTCCCTTTGTCAATCGGTACGTTACTTACCCGAGACTCGATCGTCGGTATCCCAATACCTCGTTCAATCTCGTTACCGGCAAGTCACTTTACTCGTACCATAATGCATGATCCCGTGATCAACCACTTGGTCACATTGAGCTGATTATGATGATGCATTACCGAGTGGGCCCAGAGATACCTCTCCGTCATACGGAGTGACAAATCACAGTCTCGATTTGTGCCAACCCAACAGACACTTTCGGAGATACCTGTAGTGTACCTTTATAGTCACCCAGTTACGTTGTGACGTTTGGCACACCCAAAGCACTCCTACGGTATCCGGGAGTTGCACAATCTCATGGTCTAAGGAAATGATACTTGACATTCGGAAAAACTACAGCAAACGAACTACACGATCTTTGAGCTATGCTTAGGATTGGGTCTTGTCCATCACATCATTCTCCTAATGATGTGATCCCGTTATCAATGACATCCAATGTCCATAGTCAGGAAACCATGACTATCTTTTGATCAACGAGCTAGTCAACTAGAGGCTCACTAGGGACGTGTTGTGGTCTATGTATTCACACATGTATTACGATTTCCGGATAACACAATTATAGCATGAACAATAGACAATTATCATGAACAAAGAAATATAATAATAACCATTTTATTATTGCCTCTAGGGCATATTTCCAACAAGATTTACGTAACCGCAGGGGACGACCAATGAGGTGTGCGACTTGCCGCAACTCCAACAGGCGCGGAGAAGCATGGGCAACACCGACATCCGGTCTACAAATGTCCTGTTCAACGGAATGTCCCAGCAGGAAGGGATACAAATTTTGCTCCATTTTGTATGCCTTTGTTCGTTATATTTGTTGTGCCCTTGGATACGATAGTTGCATATGTTGTTATTTTTCTTTGTATTTGTTGCATTGTTGAATTGTGATGAATTCATGATACATGATCCACGTGCATATATTGCATGGTTTCGAGGGTTTGGATTTAAGGAGTGTGGTTGCCCTGCAACACTTATTCTTTCGACAAAGGGCGTTTTTATTGACTCATTATGTAGTTTCCAGGGGATATATAACACAATGAAAAGGCCCCTAGCCTCTACATAACTATGATGCACACGATCAGCACTAACACACACACACAAAGGATAACACTGGCAAAAACAAAGTCATACAAGACCGAAGCTATGCCTAGGTGACGGGAAAAAAATGACCATCAACACCAATCATTCCTGACAACACAAGGACTAGGAGAAAAGTTCTCCAAAAGTGATGCTTCCAGGAAGGAAACAACGCGCAAGCACCTCCATCACCGGATCCAACCATTGAATGACAGATCATGGGTTTTCACCCTGAAGATTATGTCCGAGCAAACTCCAAGCAATGCCTTCAGCATGGTAACGATGCAAAAACATCGTTATTGTCAGGTATGACCAACTAGGGTTAGACCTAGGGTATTCACACTAGAGCTCAAAACCAAGGGTACTCGGAAAGCACCACAAAATTGAATTCATCATGTGTTGCCGCCTCCACTTTCCGCCATCCCAACACCGTCACACACAAGGTGAGGTCATTAACGAGCGAGAAAGGGCATCGGCATGACGCTCCGGCAACCCCGCGTCGTCCTAGCAAGTGAATGTTGGTGGCAGGTCTGCAAACGACACCACCATGCCTCGTCTCTTGCCATGGCGTCGTTTGACCGTGTACTTTGTGCGGTTGTTGCTTTATCTACTATATCTAAATAAGAGCCCCCCACTGCTTGATTTCTCTGCATTCTCATGCATCCACGTTACCACAATTATTTTCAGCCATTGATTCACCACGGATGGCTCAGATCTGTAGCTCGAATTGATCCCGGTGCTTCACGCGGTCACGCCCGTCGGGTTGACTCCTCCCTCGACCCACGGAAGTGGAAGCGCACAGAAGCGAACCATCCTCCAGTGGAAACGTCCTCCGTTCAGAATCCCTCGCCGTCTCCCATTCCCCATCCGTCTCTCTCCCCAACGACAAATAACCCCATGAGGCGACGGATGCAACAGAACGCAGCTTCATCTAGGGTTTGCGAACACCATCGGAGGTAGCACCGGCGGCTACGGCGGCGATGGCGCAGCAAGATCGCAAGGCAATCGATCTAGAGGATGAGTGGAGCCGTACTTCAGCGACATCAACATCCTTGAGGGCAAGCTGGAGCCACAGTTCAGCTCCGAGGATTCATGATTCTCTACAGGTATCTGTCCCCGCGTGTCCCTGCAGTCATGCCTAGGTTGGCCCCGATTGGATCTGATCTAAGGTTTGCATACCCCCCTCCCTGTTTGCCTCTTTTTGCGGCACAACATGATATACAAACAGCACCACAACCCCCTTCATTTTCTGCCTAAACTTGCCAAGAAGCCAAAGGAGAGGCCACCCTTCGATTCTATCCTTTGGGGAACCCACTTCTGTTTACATTTTCCCTATTTGATTACCAATCAGGAAAGCCTCCGCTGCTGCTATGCTCTATGTACGAGGATGATCTGTATGCTATGATCTATGTTTCAATTAGTTTTTTTTTGCAAGGCCTTAAAACATCGAAGTTTCCCATCTGGAGGGTGCATTGAGTGGCAACGATCTGAATGACTCCCTGCCCACGAAGCAGCGTGGTTGCCACGCATGACATGACTGAATGCCTGATGGTCATTGTGTACGATCCGGTAGGTCTGTGCCCGATCTTGACTCTACTATTATAATTTTTTAGGTTTCTTTTTTGCATATATTTTTCTTGATATATTATTGTTGGTGCATAATAGAAATAAATTTGATCTTGCAGCAAATACTCTATGTTCGATACGTTGATTTATTGGAACGTGTAGGAACTGCTCAATATGACAGTATGTACTGAATTTTTGTAGGATAAACATCCTCAATGTTTTAAGCCGTGACAATGTCCAATAACATGTTGGACCAACTACAGTCTTAAGGTTTGTGCCAAGATAATATGATTTTCATTCTCTGTTAATTTGTTACTGATATTATCTCATGGTAATTCTTGCCTATTAGGCCTAACACATAATTCTGCTTTAGTACTAATTTTATCACATGTCATTTATTACCCTGCCAAAGGAGACCATAAACATCTTGCAAGAGAAACATTTTTCTGTGTGCTATCTTCTGAATACACTACAAAGCGAGTTGAGCCTATGTTTTCCCCTCCTAAATCTGTGGTTGTATCTCTTTTCTCTCCTATACCCATCTTTCAATTTTTATCCATTCCCTTATTTGTTCTGTCTTTATCTGACCTTTTAGCTGATAATTTTCACTGTTAAAGACAAAGTTTGAAGCAAGGGTGCATGTATACGTGAGTGTGTACGTTAACTAAGATGTACATACAATCTTTCAACCTAGCATAAACTTCATATGTCTATTTGTTTTATATAGTTATATCTGATGATATATTGATACGAAGATAGTTCCCCATGTTTGCCAGACATGAAAACACTAAGGGTTTGTTGTTATATTTCAATTACTAGCAACTACCAGTTGTTAATTCGCCTTTCATCTGACATGTTTCATGCTAATATGCTTAGGAAAAAATAATGGTATCCCGCACCAATGTCCCGTAGCAACGCGCGGGGCATCATCTAGTTTATAAAGTGGGGCGAAAGTCTATTTCGAGATCAACTACAGGACTAGTCATGGCATCCAGTTACCATGCGCATGTAAGATGTCGTCGATAACGAAGACACTTGCCGTTACATCCATAGACCGGCCATGAAGAGCAGTTGGTGTGAGGTGGCACCGCACTGCAAGGTTGAGCACTTATGAGGGGTCGTCCGACATTATCCGGGAACACGTCCTA